TTCATCTTGGAGTCAATAATGACTCCAAGATCCCTTTCCACCTCTGTGCTTTCAAGAAGGGAACTCCCCACCTTGTATGTATGCTGTGGATTCCTTCTCCCAAGGTGCAGCACCCTGCGTTTGTCTACATTGAACCCCATCCTATTTTCGTCTGCCCACTTTTGTAGTACAGATGTCAATATCAGAGCAGTCCTTTCTCTTGTCTTCCCCCTCCCTCTTCTGAGTTTCTGCATCTCTGCAAGCCTGGCTCTGAAACATCTGAAACATTTCTGAAATGTTTTGGATGGTTTCGTTTCGTTTTGGAGATGTTTCAGAGCCTTCCGTTTCGTTTCAGTGTTTTGGGGGCCGAAATGGGCCGAAAAACCTCCGAAACGAAATGGCTGCCAAAATTTCTCACAGCCCTACTATCTAAACTGTTTTTGAAAGCTTACAAGCATGGAGAACAACTTCTCTAGGTAGTTTGCATCAATGCCTGGATGCTCTCAATTAAAAAATTCCTCCTAATCTCCAGCCTAAATTTCCCCTGCTGCAGCCTGAGGCTGTTGCTCCTAGTCCTGGAAGGGGAGGAAGAGGGTTGTGGGAACCTGCCCCTTAGTGATATAGGATCAAAGAGCTGTTCATAGTCTTCATTAGTGTGGTGGCTGCAAGTTCGTGAGACATCATGAACCTCTGGGTTACACAACTAAAGTGGTTACCTCCTCTGACACTGCCATGAGAAATAATTTTGCATTGTGCGGTTGCTCATATCTTGCTTCTTTCCCATGCTTTTGGGAGAGAGGCTGGGATGCACTGAGAATACTTGTCAGGCCACTGAAAAAAGTTAGCATCAACAGCTTTGCCATGAGGAACTGCAGTCTAAAGAAGAGACTTACAGAGGCCTCTCACCTCCAAAAAAAAGGCATTTATTAGGCACATGCCATGGAACATTTTTTTTAATCAATTCCCAATCCTGCCCAATCACACTATTTTACAATTAGATGGTACACAATCATCCTGTGTAGTCTGAAAAAAATAAATTTTATACATATTAATAAGAACTCAGTACTTTGAACACAAATGCTTCAAGTGAGGCACTTTAACAGGTAGCCTTAAAGGTGCTGAGGACCCACAAGTTGCTAATCAACTTCAAAACACTTATACTTCATTTTCTAAAGGTAGATTTCTGTACAAACCTCAAAAGTTTGAAGATTGTAGAAAAGTCTATGGGAAACTTGAAAGATACTTCTGCTGTTTTCTTTTTTTCTTTTCTACAGATACCTCCGTTTGTCACAAAGCAATATTAACACCTTGCTACAGCTGTGTAAGGAATCGGGAGTTCATATGGAGATTCACCCACATATGAAGGAATCTGAAATCAACATCAATACTGTTCTCTCTTCAAACCTCAGTACAGCACTGTAGAGCTTTAATTCTCTCACCAAACATTTACCATCATTAGATCAGCCTTTAATTATGTAAAGTTATGACAACAGCATGTTAAATCAATTCCCATCTGTTTTCACCATTGAAAGCACCTAATGTTTTGATTTTTTTAAAAAGGAGAGATCACTCCTCAGTTCTTTATGATAAGACTTTGTAATAATTTCTTTAAATAGGATGAGGAGCTGATAAAAGATTTGGTAAACAATATTTTTATGAACCAAACAACTCTTAACTACCACATTGTGAAAATTAATTTATCAAAAAAAGATAACTAATTGGATAGTGTTATCTGAATAATCAAAAATTAGATCCACTTACTGTAATGTTGTATTCTACTTTACCCCAACAGCTCAGACTTCAGGCTAACTGGTTGGCATTAGAGCTACTCATCTCCTGTTACTGGCACTCATATCCCTAACGACTCACTGGTCATAAATAAAACTGTATTAGCAACATCAAGCCATAAGAGGGAACCCTAAAGATAACTGTTTAACCTAACCACCTCAAAGGCAGCACAACATGCTTATGGCCTGATCAAAAGAGCTGAGTACATTCTACAACCTACTTCACATGCAGGTTTTGTCTAGTTAGGCAGACTGAGATTTTTTTTTTTTTATAGTGTTTCTGTTTTTAGTATCCCTCCTCTTCAGACTGGTAAGATGAGATACAAGAGCCCTGTTATATATATTCAATTTTCTACTTATTCCAAACAAAATCCAGTTTTACCTCCTACAGTTAAAATATTTTTAACTCTACAAATATGCATCAAAGGAGATTTTTTAAAAAATCATCTTTAAAACCATGCTCTGGTTTTGGCAGCATTGTCTTTCTGACCAAGGGCTTGATCATGAAATACCCTTTATCTCCAGGGGACTCCAGTAGGAATGGCAATTCAGCACCATACAGGAGTAGGCCCTATCGCTCTGTCTAACTCATAACATGCTTCATGGGCTTGCTATAGCAGCTGCTCCATCCCCTTTGGGGCAGATCCTAGCCTTTCTATATAGGGTTAGTACTGATTAAGCACTTTTAACCAAGCACACTCAAAAACTGATCCTCTGCCTGTTTATGCCCAAGTGATATAGGTGCCCAAGTCCCAATAACTTTCAATGGGCCTTTCAGGTTGCAGAAAATTCCATTCAGAATTCAAAACAGGTCATATTGAATATGGGATCATAATACTGAAAGAAAAAAATGCAGGATAGGAATGCTCAGTGAGCATTTTAGCTTAGTATGAGGTTATCCAATTTGGCTGCAGACAGGCTCATAACCAGACTGTGTCTAAAATGAAGAGAGTGGAATTATTACAGAAAACTGTCATTGCTTTTGATTAATCTTTTTGAAGGTGTAAAAATCTGAACTTTTTTGAACTTCTGAACTTTTTGCATCTGAACACTATTTACGGCTTGGCAAAAGATACAGTCCCTGTTGATAATATATGCAAAAGTGCCCCTTTCCAATCTTCACTACTTACATTAGAATGCCATATTAACATTTCTGCTCCTTCTGACCCATTCCCAACATGTAAAACATAAGTATTACATTTTGTGGGTGAGCAGATGAGATAGATTCCACATGTAATAACTACAGCCTGATTTTTATACCAGTTCTTCATTATATATCAATCAGGCATAACACCACTGAAGTCAATGAGTTTACACCAGCATGTAAAAGAATCAGAATCAGTCTATACAGTCACAGACAAATGGAAAATCTGCTTCCTAGAATTTACAAAACAATGGCCGTGTCTACACAAAAGGCTGACTGTGCAGTAGCCTGAAACTATTGCACAGTAGCATTGCATGGTAGAAACCATGACATGATGTGACACTACTGTGCAGTAGTCTCAGGCTACTACGGCACAAAAAAGCCATTCATCAGCCCTACTGTACAGTAACTGTGCAGTATAAACAAGTACTAACTTACTGTGCAGACAGCATCTTATGTAGACACGGGCAATATGTCCTACTCTAGCAACTTGGTAGTAGGTTTTAATTTGGTGAGCATGCTGCAAATGGTTCTAAGTTACATATGTTACAATTTTTCCTCGCTGAAATGTTATGATTTTATAAAGCAAAACGCATATTACTTTTAGTAAAATAAGATTTCCATTCATTATAAGAATTCAAAAATCACAGTTACAAAGCTCACTGTTAAAATGTTGCTCAGCTTCTCCAGCTCCAAGCTTATTCAGGCAGACATCTTATCCTTGTTCAATGCCTAATTCTAACTGTGGGATGGGTGGTATACCAATATAAACATTTAACAACAAACAACAGTGGTTAAGGATTCCTTATATTAAACAGAGTGAAGGACACAATTTTCAAACTGGTCCTTCATTCTTATGGGTGCAATTCTGGATGTACCAGAGATTGACAGCATATTTTATACTTACAGTGAACACACAGGACAATCAGTGAATGAATTAAATGAAGGGAAAAACTGAGGGCAACAGAATTGGTCAGAAACTTAAAAGAGTTTCTTGTTTGCAGGAAATTTCAATATCTGAAACATTTTCATTCCCAGTTGAATTTTTTTTTTTTAAATGTGTCACAAAGCTGAATTTTCTTGACAGAATTCCAAAATGTCTCATTTGGAATCTTTTTTCATTCTTATATTATGTCAGACAGGTAAATGGTAGCAATAGCATAACATATGACACACAGAAGTATTGTACATCAGACACATGAAGTAACCTTTCTGCTCTATGAAGCACTTATGAGGCTTCAGGGGGAGTCCATTTTTGGGCACTAAACTTCAAGAAAGTTGTCAACCAACTGAAGAGAGTTCAGAGGAAAGGAACAAATATTACTCAAAGTCCAAAAACCATGATTTTACGACTTGGGTTTGTTTAGTTTGGAGGAGACATGACTGAGGGGACATACAAGTCTGAAAATATATAAAAGGAGGAATGCCTAAACTGTTCTCTATGTCTGTTGGGAATAGGACAAGTAATAATGAATTTAAACTGTCATAAGGGATATTTAGCTTATATATTCGGGGGGAAATCTTTCTAATAATAAGAACCATTAAGCATTAGAACAGATTATCTAAGGAATTTGTGAAGGTTTTAAGAAAAGGTGAAACAAATATCTAAAAGGAATTATATAAGTACAGCAATTTTGCATTAAGAGCAAGAGACTGGCTGAGGTGACCCTGTCAAAGTCTATTCCATTTCCATGAATCTGTAACTTAATAGCAGGACTATTCTATCTTTTTTAGTTTACTTATTTCATTTTATTTTTGAAATCATTAGGAACAACTGCTACTCAGTACTAATGGAAACAGCTGTCTCTTCTAAGTCAGAAAGTCTCCCATTTGCTACACAATACAACAGATTTGACTTATTTTAAAAATAAAATTAAAAATTAAAAAGTAAACTATTTCATCTCATTATATTGCATAATACAATACCAGCTACATACTACATTATAGTCTCCAACTACTGACATGTCACAAAATATTGTCAAATAAAATTCCAAGCACAAGTTTGGAATTTTCCAAAATGAAGACATTTCTAAATGAAAAAGATTAATTTTCCAAAGGAAATTCCACTGAAAGTGGTTCTGTGAAGATTTCAATTTTGTCTAAACAGTTTTTTCAAGTGTAAAACTGTTTTAATGAAAACATTTCAACAGGCAGCATGGGACAATGCAGTGGGGGGTGGAAATTACAGCAACAAATGGAAAGACCTAGCTAAAAAATGGGGCACAAAATATAGAAGTTTAAAGCTGGTCACTTTAAACATTGAAATCTGGTCAGCAATACTCACTACTTAGCCCCATACCAAAACACTGCACCATGCGGATTAAATATTACAAACTGTTCTGTATAAAATGGCATAGAGCCAGTATATACATCTTATTTACACCAAAGCCAAAGGGTCCTTTATGTCAATTAACATAAAACATCATCTCTTAAAGGTTTCTTCCCTCAGAGCCAGCCCTGCAGGTACATTTGTGACATTAGAGTCATTGTGAATATGTGCCCAAACACTACTGTACTTCTGTATAATACAAGATATAGAAGTTCTACCAACTACAACATCAGGCATCATAGCCTCTTAAAAACAATCAAGATTAGCAATTACATTTCATGGTTATGAGTTCCGAATACCATTATGTTCTAGCTCCTAAGGAGAGCCAAGCTGGCAAATCATCAAAATCTGCTGCCACATTACAAACAACGCTGTGTAGAATTTCAAAGTTTTCATAAATTCATTGTGCCAGAGGTTAAAATCCATTGTGCTAAAGACATACTTATTTCCTGCATATGAAATGTTAGTTCTTTCTGTGTGGTTTTATTCCATCTTCCATGCCCAGTGTAAATCATCAGTTAGAGGTTTCTGACCTGTTAATGTGTCTGTAATGTTTTCCCTTTTCCTCCAAACCCCTATTCTATCCAAGGGATAATTTAGCCAGCCTGGAAGGGGGAAAATAGTTTATAGTTAAAATAGTATTTACCCAGTCAGGCCTCTTTTCTGCTCTCTTCCTGCTAAAACATCATTCCCTGCTACTTACTGCCCTCCTTAAACATAAGCTAAAGCTATTGCTAGCCAATAAATTAACAATAATATTGTTTCAAATGAATGGCAATAGGCAACTACAAAGTAATGTTAACTTTCTCTGCCCTTCTTCCCTTACGCTCCCACATTCTCTCCCACCATATGTCACAGTGTTAGACATTTCATTGCTCTTTGAGAGCTCTTATTTTACCTGTTGTGATGCAAAAATAGGTTTCATGGGGTGCTACACGATGGATTCTGTGGTGTTTCCTTGGTAAAATGATGTGCAGATCTTGTAAAATTGTGACCCAGAGAGGCAGCCAGCCCAAAGTAGGAATGGGACCACTTATGAATCTGATTGGTCATTGTGACAAAAACAGTTAGTGCAAATAGAAAGCACTCCCAAACATACAGCTCATATATAGAATCTGTAAAGAGAAAAACACCAAATTCAGTTTTGAAAGCAAAATATGCATAAGGCAAGATTACATCACTCT